TACCAAACCTCCCAGATGTCCCTGCGGGGGATGTCCTCCCATGAGCACGGCCGAAAGCTGCTGGTGGAGCAGTCGTTCGCCCAGCTGCACAAGTCTCTCCTCTTCAACCTGAGCGGGGTGGCGAAGGATTGGAGGACGTACAGCAGGAAGGCGAGCGGGGAGCTGCAGAGCCTCTGCGCCAGCATCGACGCCTTCCTGGACACCTCTCTCCTGGTGGTGACCCTCAGCCAGCAGCAGTGCAAGGCTGCCAGGAAGAGGAGAAGCGCTCACTATGCCCCTCTCACTCCCAGCAACCTCTGCAAGCCCAGGCGGCTTTACATCAGCTTCAGCGACGTTGGCTGGGAGAACTGGATCATCGCCCCGCAGGGCTACATGGCCAATTACTGCCTGGGTGAGTGCCCCTTTCCCCTGACGGCGGAGCTGAACAGCACCAACCACGCCATCCTCCAAACCATGGTGCACTCGCTGGACCCCGAGGGGACCCCCCAGCCCTGCTGCGTCCCCGTCAGGCTCTCCCCGATCTCCATCCTCTACTACGATAACAACGACAACGTGGTGCTGAGGCACTACGAGGACATGGTGGTGGATGAGTGTGGCTGCAGATAGCGGAGCGGCTGGGGCAGCGTGTGCCAGGGGCTCCTGGCTGAAGTGTTGAATGATTGATGGAATAAATCCAAGTGTGTTAAATCCCCTCTGTGCTGGTGTTCAGGGAGTTTCCCTGTTGGTGCATCGATTGTCGGAGCTCCCCCGGGGCTGCCCTTCTCCACGTGCGGCCGGGGAGGGGGCCTGGCACCACGGGATCGTTACTGGAGTTGTGATTTAGCCATAGCTGGGGGCTCGGCCCTCCCAGCAGCCGCCTGCCGCAGCCTCTTACGGGATTATGATCAAGTCTGGTGCTGGTTGTCGATTCCGTTCTCCACAGACAACGGTGGCACCGGGCTGTGAATCCCAGAGCCCCCTCACGCTTGGCCAAGCTGCTGCTGGTGCCAGCGAGGCACCCGCCTGGGAGAGCAGCGCAGGGCTTGTGCTTTTTTGGCTAAATGCTGCAGCTCTCTTAGTGCAAAAAGAAATGACTTTTTGTGGTGAAATGCTGCTGGCGGGTCCCTGCTGCCTGGGTGCAGGGTTCGGCTGCAGTGCGGCTGTGCCGGGAGGAGGTGATGCGGTGGCTCCGGTCCCGCTGCAGGAAGAGGTATGGTGTCACGGCACGAGCTGCGTCGCCACGGCTCTGCCTGACTGAATCCCTTCCCACGGCGGAGGCAGGGCCTGCGGCGCGCGGGTTTCTCTTTTGTTCTGGGAACGCAGGCCTGAGCTGGTTTTATCGTGCGGTTGGCGATGGGGCGGCATGGGGTGCAGGGGTGGACGTGGTTCGGAGGTGCTGGGTGGCCAAATGCAGCTGCGGAGGTTTTGTCCGGAACGGGCCGCGGGAGCCGCGGTCCGAGGGGCAGGTTGCTGCGTGCCTGAGGAAAGGCAGGGGAAAGCAGGGGGCTGTGGTGCCCCGATGCAGAGGTGGGCACGGGGTGGTGCGGGGGAGCCGGTGGCTCCCTCCCGGCCTGCTGGGAGTCAGTATTTAATTATTTACCTCATTTGCAAATTGACGAGAGCAGCGCGGTGCGTCCTGCGGCCGTTCCCCAGCAGCTGCAGGCCCAGCCTGAACCGCGGCTGGAGCCAGATGGCAGCCGCGCATCAGGCAAGGGCAGCTCCGCAGCGTTGCAGCCCCCAGACGTCAGGCACCACGTTCACGTGGTTGTGCTTTTTAGGGTTATTTTTGTTTTGTTTTTCTTAGTTGTTTGGGGTTTTTGTCGGTGGCTGTGGCCCCCAGCCCATTGCAGCACTGCGGCCGTGCTCTCCCTGTTTTAACGCCGCTAACGCGAGCCAGCGGAGCGGCGCTGCGCGGCAGGGACCCAGCTGTGCACCATCCCCTCTGAGCAGCGGCCGTCGCCGCCGGAGGAGCTGCCGCTTTTCTCCCACCTTACGGCAGCTGGAGGTTTAAAGCCTGGGCAAAGGTGCAGAGCCGTGCTCCGTGTCGCACAGCCGACAGGCGGCCCCCGGGCTGGGTGCCGCGCCAGCCCTGCCCGCTGAGGCTTTCCTGAGCTCCTGCAGCTTTGCTTTTTTTGGGGGGAACAGAAAAGGAATCTGAGTTAGACTTGAATTTCTTGTCTTTTTTTTTTTTTTTCCCTTCCTCGCTAAATGTGAACCTGACAGCATAGCGTAGATTATTTTGTTGTTGCTTGTTTTGTACTGATGCTGTGTTGTCTTCGAGGTCTGATGAAGTATTATTACCCAGCGAAGCTGGGCCTTCTCCCTCCAGGGAAGCGCTCAAGGTTTAACCACTGCGGGTTTGCAGAGGAAATGTCTCCCTGTCCCGTGACGGTGTTTTTGCTAACACCCCTGAACTGCGTAGCTGAAGGGCAAGGCTGGAGTAGCTCGAGTACTTTAGCTGTGTAGCGTACTAAGGTTTTTCACACCCAAATGTGTTTCTAGCGGCGAGCTGCAGGGCAGGTCAGCCCTGCTTTACTCCAGCAGATGAACAAGAGCGATGTTGAAACCCATTTCAACCACTTAAGGGCTTAGAGTAGAACTTAACTAAAGCAAGCAGGAGCCATTTCTTTTGAATTTAAGATGGGCAGGATTAAGAAAACCTTTAAGTATTATTTTTTTGTACCTGTGCTGTGGCTCAGCTCGCTTCAGGTGCGGTGGGTAGGGCAGACTGCTTACCTGGCTCTCCAGCGGGAGGGAGGGCGCCTGTCCCCCTCCACCGCCCCATCCCGGCGCTAAGAGGCTGGGGAGCGGCATAAGGAGGTGGGTGACAGCCCCGACCAGACAGGGAGACAGCCCTAGAGTGGCTCTAATGAGTTTATACCCTGTAAGACCAGGCCTAAGCACTGAAACTGCATTTCAGGAGATGCTGAGCCACTCCCGTGCCCAGAGCCAGGCCAAGCTTTGCTGAGCAACCACCTGTAACACAGGTAAATGCCACTTCCATGTTTACTGCAGCGCAGGGGAAGCGGGAGGGAGGAGACCTTTCGGGCCGGACTGCTCACCTCTAGCTCCAGCCTTCCGTAACTCCTGCGGCTCCCTCCCTGCACCCATGGGTGGGCACAGACCACCACCCTGGGGCTCGGGCCAGCCCCCTTGCAGCCAGAGGAGGGGAGGGGGTAGGGCATTTAACAGAGTTTCCACAGTTCATTTGCTTACCCATGTACGCTATGCACACACCCCACTTTTGTACTAGTCTGTGTTTAAAAAAAAGTAATAAACTTGGAAGTTTATACAATCAGACTAAGTTTTAATGAATGTTGCATGGTTTCATCATTGAAAGTTAGGGGCCACCTTGAATGCAAGAGCTGTTTATTAATATGTTACTGATGACAAACAGGTTTAAAACAAACTGAGACAAAATCAAAAAAGAGTAACACCGTGCTAGCACTGATGTCTGGATTTATAAAACTCAGTAACTGCTACAAAGGAAAAAACCAGCACAAAGCAGAGGCAAGCATTCCCATCGGTGAAAGAAAGGGGGTGAGGGCAGAGGAGGGGGTTACATTACTCAATGGATTGCATTGCACAGAGGGTTACAGCTTAAACCTATCAGAAAAGTCTATACCACTATGCAGCCTACAGAAGGAAAAAAATTAAAAAGCCCTTCGGCAACGTTAATAAATAAAACAGTCCATCTTACAAGGAAGGAAGGTGGCCCGTGTCTCCATTCTTTCACATTTTAGAAGTCTAAACTCTGGAGGCTTTTTATGAGAAAAGAATGGTTTTCATTTCTGGAAAGTTTCTTTTGCAGTTCTTGAACTATGTTCTCTGCAGGACTGAAAGAAAATTTTGAACACCTGTTCCATGTTTATGTGCACGCTACTCACGGTTTGTGGGCATGCTACACCAGGTCTGCACTGGGGGAGAGACACTGGAAAAACTACAGCAAGTACAGGTTATGAAAGCGGGTCAACGATTACAGAAAGGACAGTAATGAAAGGGCTTCCCCCCCAGTTACAAAAAGTGGGTTTTACGTCATTTAAGTACATTCATATGAGAGGTATTTTGAGTTCCCCCCCAAAAAAAAGACTAGAAACACTTGGAGCCCTTTGAGTATAAAGCTAACGTAATTCAAACTTTAAAAACACCGAGGTTAGTGAATCACGCTCTACTGTTCTTTGCCAATTAGGAGGTAGAGGTTAGTCTAATTTAGGGATCTGATAAAAATGGGTCTGTAGGAATTTTAAATTCTCTGCGCTGTTTCTAAAAAGGTTTAGACAGAAATAAAATGCTCCCAGTGTTCCCATATGACTTAAGACATGGGTACAACTTAGAAATTGCATGGCTTCTCTTATGTGCTGTTTTCAGTTTTGACTTCCAGCTATTTCTCAAGCCAGCATTGATGGCACAGCCGTGTCCACTACCTGAAAAATAGGCTCCGGGTTTGGTTTTCAACACCTGAATCTTTCAGCTATCTGCATTAATCACCGAAGAAGCCACACAAAAGCCTAACCCATTATCTCTAATTATACCCAGCTATCAGAGGCCACCTTCCAACAACTGCCTGCTTTGTCCATTTTTCCAACCTGCTTCAGTAACATTGTAGAGTCTTTACTTCAAAACCAATATAATCCCCAGTTTCCACTACTTCTTCCCCAGATCTGAGGGAGCGAGTAAAGCAGGCCTGTTAGCATCTTTTCCTCCAGGGCCGAAGGGCACAGGAACCCATCCCCTTTCAAGCGCAAAGTTCATCTTACAGAAAGGCTTGTTTTTCACAGAGTAGAGTCCAGACAGTAGCCAATTAAAGCATACAGAAAACACTTTGAAACCCTCCTCCTGCTCGAGCGCGCAGGCTCCTTTCACTCTAACTGCTATCCAATGTAGGAAGAAGAGGCTGATTGCTGCAACTTTTAATCACACTGAAAGTTCTCAAGGTTGGTGCTCTAATTTAGTTTGGTTTTAAACTTTTTGTAAGCTTCTCAGAACAAGGATCTCCCAGGTCCACCACTAAGAATTCAGAGACAAACTTCTAAAAATTCAGTGCTCCTTTGAAAGAATCTCTTTAAAACCACCTTGTCACGAAAGACCCGTTCAGAATGTGGGCGACACGATGACACTAGGATTTCAGAGCCAGTGTTGGACAACAAAACCTGCATCTCAGAGTTGAGCATCAGCTATGTTCCGCTGGATTTCTGCTTGGCTGGCTGTCACTTAATCAGGAACTCTCTCTCTCTCTCAAGATACTCTGCTTCTAAAATGTAAACAGTTACTGCTAAAATATAGTACCCCTTTAAAACGAGAACAACTCTGAGATGAGGGTTTTCCTCTCCCCATCTGCTCTGAAAAGTAATGCCCTGCTCGCAAAGAGAAGTATGGAATGAAGTGAAACCTGCTTAAGGCCCTTCTCTCGAGCTTGGTTGACTGGGGGAGCAGGGACTCGGCTGACCACTCATTTCAGGGTGAGTTGCCTTCCCCGTGAGGCGCCAGCCAGTCCTTCGGTGCTCTCTCTCCTCTCCGGTCAGTCTCCTTGTCTCAGTGAGCTAGCAGTGGGCTCTCTCGCGCGCGCTCCTTTCTCTCTCTCTCCTCTCCGTTGGTTGGTTTCTTTCTCCTGTTGCTCTCACACAGTGGTGCTTCAGTTTTAGCAGTGGAAAACAGGTATCCATTTTATTTTATTTTTTTTATTACCCAGAATAAAATGCTGATGAACTAAGCTCCACACAAGCTTAGCTCTTCTTCCTCAACCTGAAAGCAAAACAACAGTCCCGTTAGGAATGTCGCTCTTAAGACAGACACTGTGCTCATGAACTTAAATCAGGGAGTAAGAAGCAGAGGAGTGAACCTCGGGTGCCTTACACTCTAATACTGTGACAGTCCCGTCACTCCGCCATGTTGATATGCACGTTCACCCTGGTAAGTAGAGTCCTGTGACAGCGCCACGTCAATCTGAGATTTAAACTCATCACCAAGGTAACTGTCCTGAAAATGAAAGTGTGTGTTAAGCCTCTAACTCATTACCAAGCTCAAGTGCTCCCTTACAAAGCAGAATACCAGGCAGCCAAGGTTAATGATGAAGTCTGAGAGGTTTTGTTTTGTTGGGGATTTTTTTTTTCATTTGGTTGGTGTTTTGGTTTTTTTTTTTTTTTTTTTTAAATCTACTCTTTTTGCTGCAGGATTTCCACAGATACTAAGGTTTTTGCAATAGCTGGCTGTTGAACAGGCAAGCAGGTCAAAGTTAAGGCTCGAGCTAAAGTCTATACATGCAGCATTTCGCTTTTATGCCCGAGTGTACTTATAAAGTCCACCAAGTGGAGGCGTATGAAATGCTGTGGCCGAGTCATTGAAAATGGTTTTAGTTCCCATTTTCCTCAGTACTAGGGAACAAGGATGCACATGCGCACAGATCACTGACATAAAACCCAGGAAAAAGAGCAGACTGTACATCAAATCCTGCTTACCTGTGATAATTCTGGTTGGGAGAGCCCAGGCTGACTCATCTGTGATGGCTGACTCATGGAGATATAGCCCTGAGTCAGTGGACCCTGGGAGAAAGGCTGGGACACCACATCTTGGCTCGCTTGACTATTTGGAAGGTTTGACTGACTAGTTCCAGGAATTCCAAAACGATTTTTCTGGCGCCCACCACGACCAGTCTTTCCTTTTGGCGCCCCACGTCCTGGAAAAGCATTTATTCCAACCAACAGTGAGAAGTCTTACACATGCAAACATGTGAGAATTAACTGTTTTGATAAAGACTCGATCGCTCGCAAGAGGCAATGTTTTTATGGACTCAAAAGGCAGAACCACCAGTGTAGACACAGCGAAGGGACGCTCGCTGGAGGCTGCTGTGCTGCTGTTTGTACTCCATACCACTCAGATTTGTTACTGAAGCACATCGTTATCTACTCTCACCAGCACTGCTGCCAGAGTAGCAAAACCCATTCTCCAACTTCAGACCTAAAATGTGGCTTTTGTACCATTTCACCCTTGCCCCTGTACCTGCGGCTGGTCCGTTCGCCTGGCCAAAGTATCCCGGTGGTGGCATCGGTGGCATCACAAGGTTGAAAGGGATAGGAATGTTCATAGCAGTGACGTGGCTGGGGCCAGCACTAATCATCCCGATCTGGTCGTGGGTCTGGAAGTACATGTTGGATGGGCGCCCTGGGGAGGGGAGGAAAAGCCACAATGATTTCCAGCATCCTGAATATTTAAAAATCAATTCACATTCCT